TTGCGTCGCCGAAACAAAAGCGAACATTCCAATAAATGTTTGAATAATCTTTTATTAGGAATAAATTGAATTCCATAAATGTATAATTATGAATCAATGAACCGCCATGATATCCCACACTTGCCCTGAAGGACAAATACATTCGTGCGGAGCAGAGTGGAGTGCAGTGGAGTGGAGGGTTCTACTACTACTGCTACAACAAAACCCGTTGTAGCAACGAGACAAAACAAAAAAAAAAACAAAAAACAGATCCCATCTCAGAGATATGCCTGCTTCAACAATAAGCACAATTAATTAAATTTAAACGAAAGACAACAACAGCCTGCCTGCCAGCAACATCAACATCGTGTTTAATATTTGCGGGCTGTCAATAAATTTATGAACTTTGCGGCGACTTTTTGGCTGACTTATGGAGTACTTTTAACTGCGCCGTTTTTGGGTTTTTCTCACAATATAACAGTTAACATAAGGTCGCCGGTCGCCGGACGCCAACGCCTGTGTAAATAGGCATTAAGTACTGGCCTGGTAGTGGCATGAAGTGGGGGTGCAGTGGCATTTTGTGTTCGAGTGCTCGACAAATAGAATTTCCCATGGGGTTTTCTGCGCAGTTCTCAATACGGTTTCATAACGGTTACTAAACGCTCCGCAAACGCTCACCTCACCTCACCTCACCAATTCGATTAGCATTGTATTAGCTGATGTCAGGTTTTTCGGTGCCCAATATCTCACAGACTTGTTGGCAGGTTCCCCTCCCAAAATAATGAAAAAATCATGGAACGGATTAAAAATTTTTTATGGTGATTTTTGTGACGCAGCCAAAGCGGCGGTTGCGGGGGAATTCCCAAAACAAAGTTTGAAACAAACTTTTGTGTTTCATATTTCATGTTTTATTTACATACATATGTACATATTTGCATGTATGTATACATACATGTGGATGTTTGTGTGTCTATTAATAACTACCATATATACCTCCAAGTTGCTATATCTGTAGGTTGGTTGCCTACTACCCATCTTTAATCGTATGCTAACGATTGGCACGTTGCTCGGATCCGAAATCCGAAATCCGAGATCCGAGCAGCTTTGCAACAACAATTGAATTGAGGACTGGGCTCTGTCTTTTACAGCCGCCTGGTCGCCTCATCTCTCTGTCTCTCAATCGGCTAGTCTTAGCTGCTTCTCCTTTTAGTTAGTCGAGCTTTGGAACAGCACACACACAGACACACACACACACACAAAAACTTCATGTTGTCATCGTTTATTTTTAAAGCTTGTGACACAATTGTTGCTTTTGTAAACCTCCCCATCATCGTAGTCGACGAGTCCGAAATAAAACAAAACCAACAAATAAAAAAGAAAGAAAAAACTGGACTGTAGAGTTTTGAGTTTCTTGAGCCGCCGCTGCCGCTTTCTTTACCTCTTTCTCCAGTCGAGAGAGAAAAAACGGAACTGGAAACGTAAAAAGGTACTGGTCTGGCTTTGGTATATGCTATGATCTATTTCTTTTAATCTTTCTTTCTGATAACCTCCTGATTTGATGACTCAAGTTCATGGCTAGACCCTGTCGCTATCGCTTCTAGGATTCGACTGACTCATAAATTTCCAACTTTGACTATTACTGCATTTCCCTAAATACTAATCGTAGTCACAGTCAAAGTTTAGAGACTGTGACTGTGTTCTCAAGCAAAAACAAATTCTTTGCGGAAATCTCCGATCTTCCTCCTACAAGTGTTGGCAGGGGGAAGGGGTATTATGCAAATAGGGGGTCCGACCGGCCGACTGCTGTTTGTGTGTGAAAGTCAATCAACAGCACGTGTAGCCAGCCGCAAAAAAATAAAAGCAGCAAAACCAGGCAACGCCAAAAGACTACGTCAACTAATCATAAAGCCATAAAATCAAGCAAAAGCCCAGGCATGGAATACAAACAAAAAACTAAACAATCCGCCTTTATTTTCAACGTTTTTTTTACTACAATAATCTGTATGCGAGACGAGAGACGGACCACAGCGATACCGAGCAGTTAACGGCTCAATTTAAGAATGAGACTCTGATTCGAGTTGGGGGAAGACAGCAACTGCTGGTCAGACGAAAGAAAGGCGTATTTCTAGGTTTATATAGTAGCAATGCAAGGTATAAAGTTTTTTTTTTTTTGTTAATTATATTTAAGAACTGCCGGGGGAATAGAAAAAAAACATGTAAAAAAGGAATTTAAAGAAAAATAAAAACAGATAAAATCCAACACATATAATTTTTGATGAAATTTTTCTTGAAAAAAATCAATTTGTCCCCAGCGATACTAAACGACATATAAATAATATTGCATAAATACATAAATCATAAGTTCACATACATACATTGTATGTACACACTTGATCATAATAATAGGTACACCTTGAAGCTTTTCATTAATAATTAGTTTTATCGTACTTTAAGTGTTGAAAACAAAATTTTGTTTGGTATGTTTTATTTGTCAATGTATTGCAGTTCCGTGACAAAAAAAATTAAACAGGGAAACCGCCGAATAACAGAGCTTTAAGCGAAATTGCGAGTTGACATCACATTATGGCTGATCAAAATAATAGGTACAGTGTCAGTAAATTTTGAATATCAAGTGAATAATTTGGAAATTCTTGACTTTTTGGCAATTAAACATCCATTTCATTTAACAACAGTCCAAATATAAACAAATAATTATTTTTTTCTTACAAGAATAGGCCGAAAGTCTTATTGCACAGCCCAATTCGCTCTTAGTCTGAAAAAAGAAGGCCAATCTCTTCGGGCCATTGCCAGATTAATGAAAAGTTCTCATAATTTTGTTACAATGCTTTAAAAAATAAAACCTAGTCAGGAAACTCGCGGAAAGCCACAGAAAACAACCATAACACTTGACCACTACATACTTTTCTTTGAGGAATAAGGACCCATTTAAGTCGTCAAAGGCTATTGCATCAGAAATTGCACTAGAAGTTAGTGCTCCAACGATCCGTAGACGGCTACAACAAGCCAGCCTTCCAAGGAGAATAGAAAGAAAGGTCCCACTTACGCGTCAAAAAAATCTAGCCATGGGGCAAACTTTTGCTAAAGATCATAAAGACTGCGCAGGATGCGCCGGAGAGAAAAAGTGGAGAAGCCTTTTATGGAGCGACGAAACTAAAATAAATTTATTAGGGAATGAATGTGAAAGCAATGTAGGAAGCCCTAAACGAAAGAATTTTGATCCATGTTTCAAACAAAAAATTTCTCAAACATGGAGGTGCCAGCTAAAGACATGGGGCTGCTCATCCTGGTACGGCGTAGGTCCATTTTTCCTGACAACGAACAGAATGGACGCTGAGCAATACAAACCCAGATTGCAGACAGTTATGCTACCTTATGCTGAAGAAAACATGAGTTTCCATTGGGTATTTAAGTAATATAACGACCCAAGGCACACATCTAAGCTTTTGACCAACTTTTTTGAGGACCAAACAATAGACGTTTTAAAGTGGCTTCCTAAATTTTCCGACTTAAATCCAATCGAAAACTTGTGGGGAGATTTACGAAACAAAATTAGCTAAGTTTTCATTTTCAAATAATCAAAAATTATGCGAGGGCGTCCAAAAATTGTGGTATGAGACACCTGCCAGACGCTTATTACAAGTACGCCAAAAATAATTACAAAGGTGAAAAAAAATAAAGCTGGATACATCGGATATTAACTATAAATCCCATTTAGGCAACAAAAAAATAATAATAATCAGTTAAAAAACTTTTTTCATAACAAAACTTGAAGTGTACCTATTATTTTGAGCAGCCTGACATTGACTCTGAAGTACAAATTGCTCTCTTTTCTTTTATAACATTATCCTATAATATAATAAAGTTTATTTTATTGAAAACAAATACTATTGGTATAATTGAGAACTAAGTTTCAAGTTTCAAATATTGAATACAACTGCTTTTTGTTATGTTAAAGTGTACGTAGATGTGTGTACCTATTATTATGATCAAGTGTGTATGTACATATATAGTGACTTCACACCGGTCATAAAGTAGAGCCGCGGCCCTTGCCGCAGCAAAGGCTACAGTCTCTGAAAGTGTCTTTTCATAATGTTAAAAGTTCACCAAATAAAGTATTTTCTACATGAGTATGCTTCTGTTCTTTGCCAACTTTTTATTATTATTCTTCTATCTTTTACTCGTATACTTATAAAAGACTGATATTCGGAATCTAGTTTGAAGTTTAAATGTCAATTAAATTATTTGCAAATTCAGCAATTTATATATTAGTATGTGTATCAGATACTCGTATCTCGTATCTAGTGTGTTCAAACCAATTTGAACTTGAGCAAACTTGTTGCTGAAGCAGAAATCCAAAAAATCCAACTTTGTATAGGTTTTTTTTGTTGGTTTGTTAACTTTAAAGCCAACACTGCTGGGTTTTGTTGTTGATATTGTTATTGTTGTTGTGCTCTGTCTGCTGTGTGTGATTGTGTGTGTTATTGCTGCTGTTTTATTGTGGGAATTTCTTGGGTTTTTCAACGCACACACCCATGCACTCAACACTCGTCAGGCAATCACACATGAACACACACACACACACACAGTAAGAGACATGCGAAGTCAACGCGCGTTGTCATATTGTCTTATATGGCAAAAGCCTCCACTTGCCTGGCACCCTACCCTCCAGCCCACATGGAAACCCCTTCCGTCCAGTGGTCATTGTCGTAATCGAAGCTTTTTTTGTAGTCGTATTATAAAACGCTACTTGTTTTACAACTGAAAGCGGTTCGTTCGGAGAGTGGGAGCTTTTGGTGGCTCAAAAGCTTTGAGAGTGCAAGAGATCGATCGCATTTCATTCATAAATAAAGCTTTTGTCAGGGCACAGTGGTGCGACACACCAATTGTACGAAATATACAAATTATTTAAAAAAAAATTAATAAACTAAATTAAAAGCTAACTCTTGTTTAAATTTAACAATTTTTGTAATCAAAATGTATATCTTTTTTTTGTATTTTAGGCGAACGTTGCGTACATTTGGCTGCCGAAGCAGGTCACATTGACATTTTACGCATTTTGGTATCACATGGAGCGGATATCAACGCTAGGGTAAGTCCATATACATATATATACTCTTTGTTAACAAAGAATATTTCGCCTAATTCTAATATTTTCGGATCATTTGATAGGAGGGTAAATCGGGACGCACACCTCTACACATTGCCATTGAGGGCTGCAACGAGGATTTGGCCAATTTCCTGCTCGACGAGTGCGAGAAACTCAATCTGGAGACGGCCACCTTCTCCGGCCTGACGGCCTACCAGTTCGCGTGCATCATGAACAAATCCCGAATGCAGAATATACTCGAGAAACGCGGCGCCGAGACCGTAACGCCGCCCGATAGTGATTACGATAGTAGCGATATTGAAGATCTAGACGATACGAAGGTGAGCGTGACAGCATAAATTCACAGAAAAATCAAAAGAAACTAGAAGATAAGAAAGAAAAATGGACCACCACCAGCTTCCAAAATGTTCAAAAAGATTATATGAAAACAAACATAAGGAAGTGAAAATCCTTTAAGCTGAACTGGTATTCAGTTGAAATAATCCGTTTAGAAACTGTAAAAACTGTTGTCACATTTATGTATTGTTAACCAAAAAAGAAAACAAAACAAAAAGCAATCAATAGAGAAGCAGCATCGATCTAGATAGGGGATCTATGTTTTAGTAGAGCCCATTGAAAGAAGAGAAAAACCCTGCAAAGTATATAAGATAACGATCCAACCAACAAAGTAACGAACAAACACTGCAATAACTTATACTGATATATGCTGATGTCCGTAACCCTTTTGCGTGGCACAACCATGCGGTTATTCTGATAAGCTGTCGTTCTATGTAAACTCTTGATGCTCGTTGCTATAACTCTCTCTCTATCTATCTATCCATCCACCTACTACATCTGCTACTATGTATTCTTGTATGCCTCTGTGTGCGCATGTCAGTGTGTTTGTAATTGTTGTATGTGAGTGTGTGTGTGTGTGTAGCGCCTAGATCTAACTCTTTATGGAACCATAAATTCTACTATACCCTAAGTTAGCTAAATCTAATTGATGTTTTCATGTTCTGACTGAAAAAAATAAATATTTTACTCTTAAAAACAAAAAACAAAAAAAGCAACAAATATTCACTTTTTTTAAATTATGAAGATGATGAATGGGGAAAAGGTATGTAATGTAATGTATGTTTACTCCTAATAATTTAGTTTCTTGTTGTTAAATTGTTTGTTGTTTGCTGCTTTTATTGGTTAAAATTGCTTGTTTTTTATTTGGTTAACATAACATAGTCTTCCCAAAAAATATATATTTTCAACTGAAATATGTAATTTAACAATCCTTAAATGGTTTATACCCCGTTTTTGTGTACTTGCAGATGTACGATCGTTTTGGTGATCCGCGCTACTTTGTCAGCTACAACGGCGGCAATCCCATGACAGTTGCCTGAGTGCCCCAACCACTTGTACATACCACCCCATAACTTAGCCTAAAAATACACATACATACACATATACGATTAACGCAAAAAACAAAACCCGAATTCCAAAACTTAACAAACTGGTTCAATTGCTGTTCCTGCCTGCCCCTGCCCCTGCCACTGCAAAATTAAGTAAAATGTATGCAATAATCTTTGACACACGTTCTCCCATGCTCCCCAACCGAAGGAATGAATGTAAAGCACACACATAATAGTACTTAAAATGAAAATAAAGCATACAAGGATGCAGAATGTCAGGCATTTTATTTATACATATTTAAACTTAGATTTAATAAAGTATTAGACAAACTCCTCCATCTAGTAACTACATATATCGTTACCTTGGTACAAACCGCAAACAGGAAATAAAGTAAAGCATTCAATTTAATATATAATTTACTAGTCCATGAACATAGGATGGCAAATAACGCTAAACTTAAAACGCAAAAGGAAATATCTTATGTCAACGGCACAAACACACAGTCTACAATGTTATTACGTTTCTGATTAAGGCTAAATAGTGTGCATTTCTAGCGAATGCTTTGTCGGAACACGCTTTGCTTGGCCTTGCTGTTGACGCTGGCAGACTTCTTGGCTGCCAGTGGATCTGGGGCAAAGCAGTTCCACAAACGCAATGTCTCATCAGCACCGGCACTGATCACAGTGCTGCCATCTGGGGACATGGCCATTTGCAGGACACGCGACGTGTGTCCCGTCAAATCAGCCTGCTTCACCATTGTGGGATACTTCCAGATAGTCAATTGATTATTGGCAAAGCCATGGGCCGAGATGAGCTCCTTGTAGTGTCGGGAGAAGAGCAGGGAGCAGACTTGTGACTTGGAATCGACCGACTTGATCAGCGAGCCATTGTTAACGTTCCAGAACTTGATGCAGCGATCAGCAGTGCCGCCACCGGAGGCCAGGGTACTGGGCTGCCAGGGGCACCAGGCCAAGGCACGCACGGCCGCCTGATGCTCATTGAACTTGTGGAGGGCCTCGCTGGCCGTGCCCACTCCGCTGCCGGCCAGGGACCAGACGTTCACCAGGTTATCGTTGCCGCCGCTGGCCAAGTACTTAAAATCGGTTGACCATTTCAGACCGCATACCTCTTGCGAATGGCCGGCTAAGGAGGAGATTTTGTGCTCCCTCGAGCGCACATCATGATGGATAATGGTTCCATCGCGACTGCCAGATGAAACCAGGAAGGAATTCCAGGCCAAGGAACCAACGCGAGCACTGTGACCGTCCATCACACGCAGCCGCTTCACCTTCGAGCAGTCCCAAAGCTCAACGGCGCCGGTGCTGTTGCCTATGGCCAAGATTTGGCCCTCCTGTATCCAGGACAGCGAACCGGCGTAGTCACCCTCCTCAAACTCGGTCAGCTGTTCAATGTTGCCACTGGCAGCATTCCACAAATACACACAGCTGCCCAGAGCAACGGCTACGATGTTGTCACCACTCCAATCCATCAAATTTAGATCTGTAACAAAAACAAGACAGAACTGAGTATTGCTTTAAGAGGATGGCAGATGCAACCTACAGTAATCGTTAATGAAGTCTGGAGCATCTAGGATACGTTCTGAAGTGGTTGGTATATAACGAGAACCGCTCTTAGTCGATATGGGTGTCTTGATGGAGTAAACCACCTTCAGGGGATTCGTGTGCGACTCTGGTGCGGCTGGAGCCTTGTTCTGATAGCACAAAATGCGACCACCTTTGCTGTCGCCGGCTACTTGGGCCACCTCCGAGATAAGCTTCTGTCGCTCTCCCTTGTGGGCCGATGCCTGGACATTGGTCTCGTTGCTGTTGGTGTTGGTGTTGCTAGTAGTGGCCTTGTCATTCTCCTCATCAGATTTTTCGCCCGAGTCTTTATTTACCTGCTCAGAGAAGATATACGCCATTTTGAGAGGCCATCAATGAAGTTGCTGGTTCTCTTCACTTACCAGAAAGTGCGCCAACTCAAAGTTGGTGGCCGCGCGATTCGGTATGAAACGATCGCCACCGCCTGGCGTCTTTGTTGGCGTCGTTGTCGACTTCTTGGTCTTGCCTTCGCTACTCTTCCCGGGCGTCTTAGTGGGGGCCTGTACGCCGGAGAAGCTGGTATTATAAGAGACGGACAATACCGAGCGTGTCGTATTCTGGCTTCCATTCAGGGACGCCTCCATCTTCTTCTTCCAGCGCGGGGCAGGTCCGCGCGTCTCGCCGTCCATGATCAGAGCATTTTGCAAGTCGCTCACAAAATTGAACTGAGACATTTTGGCAAATGTTGGGTTTATCACGTACTTCAATTATGATTAACCAGTGGTCTAGTAATAGCACAAGCGTTCGGTTTCTAAAACTCGGATGTGGGTTGTTTGGCGAACAATAATGGCGGTTCGATTTGGAATTGCAATGTGACCGTAAGCGGCTTTCCGAAAAATTATACTTTTGCTCATCAAAATATATACTGAGATACTATAAGTGTTCAGAGCATAGGAAATTCGAAGTAAGTTTCCGGGCACATTATATAGAAAAAGTGTGCCGTCTGTGACCGAATTATAAAAACTATGTGCACGACTTGAAAGTTAGAATTCGCATATACATTTGCTTCGTTATTAAACTATCACAATTCTAAATCACGTCTGCTTGCTGTCCAAGTTTGCCGTAGGTTCGTTGGGTGCTCACAACCGCCACACTGCCTCCATATATATTTTAGTTTAGTGTGACCGTACGTATGCCGTCGCGTTCTTTCATCCCTGGTCCCCAGCTGTCATCTCGCCGCCCCGCAAGAAAAAAACAAGCTAGTTTTTACAACAATTGAAAATTTACGTAAATAATTAGAAGCGTGCCTTAGCAAGAATTATTTGTCTACACGATGGTTTTCAACTTTACCGCCTTCACCTACATCGTTGCCTTGATTGGCGATGCATTCTTGATATTTTTCGCAATATTCCATGTCATTGCCTTTGATGAGCTGAAAACAGATTATAAAAATCCAATAGATCAATGTAACAGCCTTAATCCGGTGCGTATTCTAAGTTCAGTGTAGCGCTCTGGGATGTGTTCAGTTACTTAATGGATTTGTATTACTTTCAGCTAGTCTTACCTGAATATTTGCTCCACATATTCCTCAATTTGTTATTCTTGGTGTGCGGCGAATGGTTCTCCCTGGCCATCAACATACCCCTCATTGCGTATCACATTTGGCGGTAAGCAGCGCAGCCCGCATAATGACTCACTTAACTGATCATGGAACTGCTTTTAGCTACAAAACTCGTCCAGTCATGTCCGGACCGGGTTTGTACGATCCTACAACGGTGCTGAAGACGGACACCTTGTCGCGTAACATGCGTGAGGGCTGGATCAAGCTGGCCGTCTATTTGATTAGTTTCTTCTACTACATCTATGGGTAATTAGCGATGCATATCTATTCATTTGCTTTTCAGGGTACTGTTCACTCATTTGTATAACATTTTTTGGCTAATTTTAGCATGGTTTATTCGCTCATCTCCACATAGAGCTGCCTGGGGATCGGGATCTCTACATCGTGTATAAGTTGTCATAAAAACATACGGTACGGTACGGAACGGGGAGTGTGGTGTGCCGTGTGCCCCTCCCTTCGGATGAGATTGTCTCACAGCCGCGAACAATATATTTCACATCTGTAAAGTTTAGGTGTAAATCCCATCAGTGCGATTCATAACAAACGATATTACTCAGATCAGATCAGCATTTTCTTGTTTGCTTATGAATTATTTTTATTTTATATTTTTGTAAAGTTGTATTATTTTTTTTGCATTTCGCATTGTAGTTGGTGTAGTTGGATTTTAAGCATTAAATAAAAGTCAAATCGAAGTAATTATTGTACAATTTTTATATGCAGCCTGAGGGATAGTGGATTTTTCGACTAGCCGGAGACATGGAGAGCCTGATTACGTCCAAAACGCTTATCAACTATACCAACATAGATATCACAATCTAACATAATGGAACTGACTTGGAGGAGACCTACACATTAGCTGCCTCAAATAAACGCATTTTTTCCACGTTTTTACGTATCTTTATACTTTATTTTACAATCCAATCGGTTGGGGAGGCCACAGCATGAAAGAATATGGTATATATTTCTCAAAACCAAAGCTTGTTTAATCATAATTGGGTGTTATACAGAGGGGTAAGGGGCATTGGGCAGCATTGAGCGAAGGGCATTGGATTATGACATAAAAACAACAAAGAATATAAAGAAGAATATCAAAACACCGAATATCTTAATCATCAGCCAGCGATTCTTTGAGACAGACTGAAAGTACTTGAGAATCTCGCCATGCGCTGCCTCAATATTCAGCTCAGCGTCGGCCACATTCGTATCGATGCGTTCGACAATCTCCTCCTGTTCTTTGACCATATGCGCCAGCTGCTGGAATATGCCGCCCAGCTCAACAATTGTCGATTCAATGTTTTGCATTGTCTCAGCCCGCTGTTGAACATAATTGTCCGACTCGTCGTAGATGGCCATTTGCTGTTGCTGCTGCTGCTGCAGGCGAGCCGGTGGTCCTAGGAGCGGTGATGTATCACTGCTGCCACCCATGTCTATGCTGATCGCTTGGTTCTCCTCGCTCATCAGCAGCGAGCCCTGTTTGGCCGTCGATGGGGATACCGAGTGAGCAGCCCTGGGACCTGGCCCCTGACTGAACTGATCACGACGCGTCTTCTGGTGTTTGAGATTTTCGGTACGCACTTCCAGAATTTGCTTGAAATCCGTGCTCATGCTGGCCAGCTTTGATTGGAGTGCTAGGACCATGTTGGAGGAATGTGATACCAGATGTTTGCCGCTCGTGTTGCGTCGCTGGTCCTTGGAGATTTCCTGCAGGCGGGCAATCTGCTGATTCAATGCATTCAGATCACCCTTGATGATGTAGGTCAGTTCCTGTATCTCCTGCGGTCTGTCATCGAAGAGGCTCTTTTTCTTGGCCACTGCAAACAAAAAGAAAGGATTACATGAAGAATTCTTCCATTTCCACACTTGAATACAATCAATCACTCACACAGGGTTAGCTTCTCCAGCTTGACATAGGTACTGGCTATGTTCTTGCCAATAAATTTGGCCACCATCATAAACTCTGAATAGCTTTGAATCTGCTTGGCCTTGCGGGGATCCCGGATGTTGACGGCCCGTGTGATGTTGCGTGCCTGCAGCGAACGTATCGCATTGGCGAACTCCGCCGTTCGATCTCTTGCTGCCATGATGAATATCTCCTGCTCTGGCTCTGGCTCAGTATCTGGCTCTCGCTCAGTTTGTGGGGCTGTGACAGTACTGTAGTGGTAGTTGTTGTCGTTATTATTGTCGCCTGGATGATTGCCGGTGACAACAGCTGCGGCGGCACTCAATGTGCGCAGTGCCTGGCCAGAGAAGGCTCGTAAGTTCCACTGACGAGCTGCCTTGCCGTACTTGTCGTCGGAGTCTGTTGTTCCGCTTGAAGCCAATGACTGCGGATCGCCAATGTGAATGGCCGAGTCAAGGGTGACTCCTGCTGGCTGCAGCAGTGATTGCTGTCCAGGTTGTATTAACGCGTGAGGTCCTCCGCCGCTCGATGCTTGTTGATCCTCCGTTGCTTGAAGGGTATAGGTGTTGCTGTAATCCTGCTGGTCCGTTTGATGGAGTCGTCGTCGAGTTTGCATCTCATTTCAAGTTACGCTTTGCCCCCACGAGTTGACGTTGCTAGTTTTCTTTTTGCATTCGTCATGCACTGGAATATTCACAAAGATCTGGAATGGACTTTCCTTTCGTTGCGAAACTTTTTTGTGTGTGTTTTCGCCTGCTTTTCTAGGTTTTTTTCGTATATCTTTGGCTCAATAAGTGGAAGTCATGCTCTGTGTGTTCTATAACATTAATTTTGGTTTGAACATCATTGGAATTTGGCTGTGTTTATTAATTAAAAGATTTGATTGAATTCTACGAGAAAACTCACAGACACACACACACGCAGCACGGGCGCACACACAAACAACACACACTCTTAGCAGACTTCACAGATGGCAGATGACGTGTTGAATAGCTGTATATCGATATGCAGATATCGATAGCGCAAGTGACAGCTGCGTTTTTTCCTCCTCTCCTATGTTTTAATTTAATAAAGAAAATATTATCATAATTATCAAATAAAATGACGCTATATCATTTCGGGAACTGTGTAGCGTTGCTGATGCCATATTACTTCACCTATAAATACTCCGGCCTGTAAGTTTGGGGCCCTTGAATGTGGGTCATTCTGAATCAATAAAAACATTTATCATATGTACCTTTCTTTGCCCGGCACACTCGTACAGCTCCGAATATGGGGCATTTTGGAAGTGCATACAGGCGGGCGGCATTTATATATTCACCCAACTTTGTAAGATGCTTGTTCTGGCCACGTTCTTTTACTCGGATACATCCTCCACTGGCAACGGCGAATTTAACTTCTTTGCGGTGAGTCTTTATCAGTAACGGCGCCATATTTGCATTGTAGTAAGGTTAAGGTGTGATTTTTCATTTCAGGAAATCTTCCGTTGCAGCGTGGATATAGCCGATTTGCTTGGGTTTGCTTTGATTCTGAGCCGCATACCTGGCAAGGGACATTCAAAACTTATTACGGCTGGTCTTGGCTGTGAGTAACCTAAATAATTTATGACAGAAATCAATTAGATGATCTCCCTCCCCTCCATTTCTGCAGGGGCCACTGCCGAGGTTATTCTCTCACGTGGCATTATGCTCTGGGTGGGTGCCCGTGGCACTGAATTCAGCTGGATCTACATACTCAAATGTTTGGAGTCGAACGTTATGCTTGTTCAGCACATATCCACTGCCACGCTCATTTGGCTGTTCACGCGCCACGATCTGAATAAGGCATTGAAGCCACTGGTTAGCGTACTGCTGGCTGTGACCGTTTTCAAAGGTGTCTGGCTAGAGGGTCTCCTACATATCCTGACCATTGGACCTTGGCTGACGATTGCTGTGAAGGCTTTGGTGGCCGCTGTCATTGGCTTCTGCACGCTGCACATTTACTCGGGTCTGGCCCAGCAGATTGGCATTTAAGCCTCTCCAGTCACATCATTGTATTCCTTTTGTTTAATTATTTTCTTTGTTTTTATTTCGGTGTTGTCACAGGAGAGAATGAGAGATTTTTTTGTAACAAAGACAACAAGTACGGTTCTAGGAAAATACGAAAAATGTTGATGAATTAATATAACTATGGTAACGTAATAGTAACAAAAAGAAAAAGATAAAGAAACTTAAAGATGACGGTTCGTTTGAGGTGGAATAACAAAAGTAACAAAAATAATATAAATTTCATGATAGATAATGATAAAATGCCCTTGCTACACGCATGGGACTTTTCTAACAATTCTTAAAATAGTCGGTAACAATTTCGTTAAATTGTTACAAAAAAAAAACAAAATTATGACTGCTTGTCCAGCGCTACATTTACAATTAGGGCATTGGACTGTTCGCCCAGTGTTATTTGATCCATTTCATTGGAGTTTGGCCTTTTCGAGATACTTATGAAATTGTCACGTACGAGAGCTGCAAGCAAAAGATATGTAGATCATCTAGATTCTAGAAAGTAAGACCATTTTGCATCTTACTTAAGAGGTGACTGAAAGCCAGGGCCGCTTTAGTGCGGTGCGGAAATGACTTGATGAATTCATTTGCATCTATTCCTTTGAGGTCTGGAAAGTGGCGCCATGTGTCCAAAAGGTCCATCATTACGTCGTGGCTGTCTGTATTGGCATTGGAAGTGTTAAAAATTATAGAATCTGTATGCAGTGAGTCTGTTTAAGAGCTGCCGTATCTTACCAAATGGATTATCCTCGTAGATTGTTGTTTTATGCTTATAGAAATGATTGTTGTTGACGGGAGTTACCGCCTTCACATTTACAGGCAACAGTGGAGGCGGTGTATTGTTTTCAATATCTCCAACTGACATAGGCGGAACAGCAGCAGCTATTTCTCCTGGATTAGCTGCTATGAGCAGTTCCGAAAGCCCACCAAATACATCCTTGGCCAGAGTGTCAGTATAGTCGTCACCAAAAATCGTTTTTAATATACTCTCACAGTCGGTTTCCATTTGTTCTACAGTTAATGTATGGCTCTGACGTCTTTTTAAAAAATCTGGAAAGATAAAGCTGACAAGAAAGCGCTAAAGGAATAGTTGCTTAATGTATTGAGGCTTTATTTTCCTTACTTGTTCTTCAGAGTTGACAGAAGTTTTTTCTCACTTTTTAGTAGCTTACTGGGAGACGGTGCTTTTAAAACTTTGTTCCTGTGATTATATAGGTACTGATGTCTGTGCTTGATTAGTTCATCACGAGAATATTTGATACATTTGTCAACTATTAATTTTTTTTGTTTGCCTCGTTTTTTTAACTTTTTCCTAGGTACATAGATATCGGTGGGTGAGCGCGGTGGAAGTGACGGTAACGAGGATGCATCTGCATCCCGGTGGTATACAGTAGTCGCTGATGTAGTACTATTATCCTGAATTATCGTCTGAATAACACTATCAGAAATTGAGCTTCCAAATGGATTGATACTCTTATCCAATTTGGGATCTAAAGTGTGCGTTAAATTCGGGCTCAAAGAGTGATGCCTTAAGGACTTTAAGGGGTAGAGCTCTTCAAATATAGTCAAATCCACCTGCCCGGCGTCTCCAAATCCCTCTTCCTTTACAGAACTATGATCTTCATAGACAGCAAACTCTTCGGTGATGGTCAAGTTTGTTTCTTGAACCATTCGAGGCAGCTCAATGGACTATGGAAACAAATGTGAAAAAGTATTCAGAGCTAGGGAAGCTTTTGGTTCTTAGCCTACCTCTTCTACGACTTCCTGTGTGCTCTCTGCCTTCCACACCTGGCAATCAGTCATAAGGGCGCGATAGTGATTCAAGACATCATCATCCAGCAGCGCGGGCTCTTGGATTCTTGGACACTTCGAGAGAGTTACCCTGGCCTGTTTGGTTATAACGTGCTTGCGTTTTCGGTGGGTTCGCCCTTCTGCCTGTTTCATCACCACCGTTTTCTTCGTAGTGAGCACAAAGTCGAACGTTGTGTGATTCATTTGATCCAGCAAACGTTTCGCATCATCTGTATCGGCATCGTCATTTTTAAGTATAATCAATTTGCTATTGGTTTTATTTGATTTAAATTTACCCAACAATGTGTCCACTTGACTCCTGTATATATGGACCACTCCATGGGTGAGACGCGTAATGCCCTTAAAATTAACATATCCTTTGGAACGTGTGTTCAAGGACCTGGTCTCGTTTCTTCTTAATTTATTTTCATCTATTAAATCAGTTATCTGCTTGCTAAAAATCCATACCAGTGAGCAAACGTACGTTTTTGTTGTTTTTTTTCTGGCCAAAAGCAACTTACCAGCAGGCCACTATGTTCACCGCAGCGATCTCATTTCGGCCAACACCTGTTGCTCGTAGGCTTTTGGCGGCGCCTGCCTTCCAGCAGGGCTCAAGCAGGTAGCTTTCATACCGGGCCAAGTCTAGAGTTCGAAGCATATTTTTTTTCAGATGGTTACAATTCAATTTGATTACATGTGCATCAGGTAAATATGAAAAAAAACATCCCCACTCCACATTGTTACTTTGAACCAACGGTAAAAACATGGAGCCCTGGTGCGTATAGTACTTGAAAATAGACTAATCAATTGTGCTATCGATACTATCTACCATAGATGGCGCATTTGCGAGAAACGGGTGCAACCGGTCGTAGTGCACCTCTCTGAAATTCTGCTAAGCCTGCTAAGCATAGCTTCCACGAACGGATATATTAGAGATAAATGCGGAATATACGCCAGCTATTGGTACAAACATATTGCTGAGTCACTGAAGATTCGTTGCAGCTCGTTGGCCAGTATCTGGTTAGCTACATATATCCTAGATTAGGTGCCGATAAGCTGCTGTGACTCTTGCGGAGCCACTGTACGAATATTGAAAATTTGAAAATTGACCTTGGGTCCAGTAACGAATGGACCGATCTATACAGCCTGAAAAAGCTCAAATATGTGGACGCTTTTCTGTGCTTTAATGACGAAATTTGTTTACAATCTCAGGCAATTCACGTGTCTACGGAAACTGAAGTTGGAGTCTAGCTCCTCATATAGCGGAGAAGGATTGCCTGTTCTGAATCAACTTGAATGTCTGGATCTGGTTGACGTAGATAAACTCGATGCCAGTATCTTGGTAGATTGCTGCCAAAGGATGAAGCAGTTGCGGTGTCTTACCTTTTATAATATTGAAAACATGAGTCAACAAAATTTTAAACATCTGGCGACTAACCTCCAGCAACTAGAACGTCTGAACTTTGACGGAACATACTTCGAATACCCGGTTCACTATGAGCTGCTCTGCCAGTTGCCCAGGCTGCAACATTTGAGTGTGGCTTTTGACGGTCCTCAACGCAACTCTTTTATCGAGGGAATGATCAACAAACGGGGCGTTCCTCTGGAAAGCCTTCTCCTTTTTAATAGTAAAAGCGAAGGCAGGTTGTCCGATCAACAGATTCGGCATCTTTTTAATATTTCTACACTCAAGGAACTCTACGAATCTTGCGACACCTCAACACAGAATTTGGTAAACGAGATCAGAACTAGAAAATCTACCTATCTTTCCTGTATAGCCTGTAAACATGCCATTAATAAATGAATATTCAAAATCAAAAAAAAAAATAGTTCACAAACACGCATAGTTATTCAAGTATAGTCAAATTGTGGGCTTTGAAACTACAATTCTACCAATACGCTGCTTCTAGCTCAACTAGAAGCGAAACTAGTGCATATCTATCTTTCTAGTAAGGTGTATAATATTATATAGACTATATATGAAGGAAATAATTAAACTATGTATATTAAATTCTTTATTTCGTATCGATAATAATGGTCGATGTTTCAAATAAATATCGATATATCAATATTAACATCCCTAGCAAGACAGCAAAAACAAAAAAAAACCAAACAAAAGGCCAGGCCAGTGATACTTTGAGTTTTTAAAGCAAGAAATCCTCCTCAAGACCTGCCAAAGAAGTTCCCAGAGGAGAGTGTTTTCCACAGTCCCCATTTAACTATAGCAATGGTAAGTGATTTGGCCAAGTCGAACATCAATTACCAGAAGCATGACTAATGGCCCTGTGGGCGTGTTTTGTGGTTCGGTGATTGCTTTTGTAAGATAAGGTCCGGTCCGGTGGTTTCTGTTTCTATGCATCTATAATTAATATGATATTTTTGCTCCACAGGGTGATAACAAAATATGCGATATCAGCATCGAAGTGCTGGAGGAACTGAAAAAGTTTCGCTTCAGTAAAAGTAAAAACAATGCGGCTTTGATATGTAAGCTAAAAATTTCCATGTCATGGCTAAAAGTATAGTCATATAGGACCGGGGCCTATGCGTGTCCCCAACCAATTAAGTGGGGATGTGATTGATTGATGATCTCTTTCTCTATTCCCCTTCGCTGCCCAAAATAGTGAAAGTCGATAGAGAGAAGCAATCTGTGGTGCTGGATGAATTTATTGATGATATATCCGTGGATGAGCTGCAGGACACACTTCCAGGCCATCAGCCGCGCTATATTATCTATACATACAAAATGGTGCACGATGATCAGCGTATATCATATCCGATGTGCTTCATATTCTATACACCAAGGGACAGCCAGGTATGTGCGCCTTCAGAATGTACAAAGCATCGCCATTAAAATGGGATTTCAGATTGAACTGCAGATGATGTATGCCTGCACAAAGAGCGCTCTGCAGCGCGAGGTGGATCTCACACGCGTCTACGAAATACGAGAACTGGACGAACTAACCGAAGAGTGGCTCAGGGAGAAGCTAAAGTAGAGGACCACAACATAGACACGCCCATACAGGCCGTTGTTCAAAGCAATATTTTATGATGACTCTTATTTTGGAGGAGATTCTTTTACTATAGTATACACTTTATAAACTGGAGATCAGATCAGGAGCCAATACCAACGATGCATACCAATACCAAACAAACCAATCAATATTGACATATATGACAATTTTTACGACACAAATCAATATATAAGTTTTATATATACCTACAGTAATGACAATTTTATGTACCACTATACGTATACGTATAAGGAAGTTTTTAGTGTGTTTAGTTTTTTGCATTTAAGTCGGTATAACGAAAAGAATACGATCTTTCCATTGACATTAGCAATCGTAATGATCTTATAGAAGCTGTGCTTGCCAAATTCTACATGTATTTATTGTAAAGATACAAAGCAAACATGCAAATATTCCATTTTATATTAACGTACATAAATAAAAGTGTTCCATATTATCTAAAACCCCCAAGCCGTCCATTTAGTAGTGCAACCTTTGGGCCGCCGTGTGATGGAGCATTGAGTAGCGTCCCTCACTGGGCGTGGGTGGTGGCGGCGGCGGTGGTGCTAACATGTGAGCCATGGCGGCCATTCCCATTTGTGTGGCTGCATTTGGTGGACCCAGATGATGCAGTGCATCGTGATGATGCATGGCTGCCGAGGACGGTGCACTCCCTGCCGGATGATGGTGATGGTAGTGATGAGACATGGGTGGAGCAGGCGGCAAGGGTAGATTCAGGAGGTTGTTGTTCACTGCATGGGTGCGGAAGTGCAAGCTAAGACTGTCGGCAGTATCGAAGGCTTTATCACAGTCGGGACACTTGAAGTGGGCATGATCATCGTCGAGGGTATCCAGACCCACGGGATCCGTGTCTATGGCCTCATCATCATCATCATCCACAATATCGTGGACCGTGCTGGACTCCAAAGGATGGAGCTTCAGTTTGTGTGATCGCATATCACGTCGCCGACTGAAGGCTTTGCCACAAACATCGCAATGATGATTCTTGATGCCAGTGTGGGTTATCATGTGCTTGGACAGATCACCGGCCGTATAGAAGCCCTTCTGGCACAGCGAGCAGATCTGATCCCTCACACCGATGTGGATCTTTTGATGCGCTTGAAAGTTGCCCAACGCTGAAAACTGTTTGGAGCAAATCTCGCATTGGAAGGGTTTGTCGCCCGTGTGGGTACGTTCGTGCACCTTCAGATTGTACTTCTGGGCAAAGCGCTGGATGCAATAGCCGCACTGATACGGTTTCTCTCCCGTGTGCGTTCGTATGTGCTGGGTAAGCTGAGCAATGCACTTGAAGCTCTTGTGACACTCGTAGCAGGTGTGTGGCATCTTGGGCAGGGGTTTTGGTCCGCGTTTCTTGTGCTGTTCGGGCGGCTTGCGCTGATAACGCGAGCGCCGTTTGCTCGTCTTAGTGTCCGCAGGCTCCTCCTCATCACTGGAGATCAGTATATGACTCGGGGCTATGGGTTTCTCTACAAAGTCCGTGTTGGTGGCTGCATCCTGACGCCAGGACTCTAGTACACCCAAATATTGACGCAATCTCAGATCGCTGTTTTCGCATTGCTGCTTAAAGTGGAAAGCTACACCCAGACGGTAGATGCAATTATTGCATATAACCGACGGCAAAGCATCTGTCTTATAGACCTATCAAGAAAAACATAAACATAAACAAACATTTACTTTACTCTAATTGGTACTCATACTCGTATCTTGGCGCACTGCATCAGCATCACAGAGGGCATCATGGCAAAGTCTGTGCTGTAGATGGACGTCAGCGGTCCTGGAGTGCCCTCCTCCAGGCAAACGCGACAGATTTTGTGAATATTGTAATCCATTTTTCTTCTCTGGCCGAAAAATTAACGAGGGGGAGCGTTTTGACTTGCTGCTGCGACCGCAACTCTACATTTATACCCGATACATATGTATATACATAGTCAGTATGACTACATTGTGCGATACAAAGTGCGGGAGAGACAGAAAACGTGACTGAACGTATCGTCAGGCGCAGCGTAGCTACTGTAAATTGATTTGTTCCTTATGGCTATAATAATGATGCGATCTGATCCAGATTCGGCAATCTGGTATATATGGTCATTCTTTATTATTGTGCGTTTATAGTTTTCTCGTATTTTCAATATTGGGGATGCCACATATTTGCATCCTTTGTGGGGGCGGAAGTGGGCGGGGCGGAGTTTTGAAATACACTTGTAACAGTGACATATCACAGAAGTCTGGATACAAAATATCGTTTCTCTAGCTCTTATAGTCTTTAAGCACTAAGCGCTCATAGGGACGGACAGACAGACAGGGCTCAATCGCCTCGGCTATATACACTAAATGATTCCTTCTGGATGTTACACACATCCATTTTCACAACAAATATAATATACCCTATAGTCATTTTAGTATAATAAACAGTTCAGAAAAACAGCTGATGACCAGGGCTGGCAGATCGTTGCGCAGGGCTCCGGCATAACACACTAAATAAGAAAAAGGTATGACCTTATTTCGTTTAGCGCTGACGTGACAGTTGATTTGTTTGATTAAAATAAATGGGAAAAAAAAGAGCAGAGCAAGAGTGAAATTCAATTATACATAAATCAATCAATCAAAGCAGGCGCTACCACTACACACAGAGTGTCCCTGCTTGGCCCTACAGCCCGGAAGACATCGGCGCAGGACGTGAAAAGCACGCAGAACTAAAGCCTGCAAAATTGGAGCTGCTCGGTGAAATTTTGTGGTTGGGACACTGCTGCTGCTGTGGAGGCGCCCCCACCCCCAGTCCGTATCGTATTCATCCCCAGCTCCCTGCCGCCACACACACCAAACACACAGTCGCAAGATGCTGTGTATACAATATTAGCGATTATTGAGAAACTACGCGCAGAACACGCACACACTTAGGCGGGCATATACACGGACCAGGTAGAAATCCGCCGTATTTGCAGCCGCAGCAGAGCTGCCCATGTGCCGGCAAAAGAAGCAACAACACAAGATATTTCGCTGAATTATTTATGCTTTTATAAACAATTCCACCCCACTCCACACCCCACGGTGGAAGGTCAAACAAACGCAGAATAGTTTGTGTGTTCTAGCGAATGAACAGATAGATAGATTTCCGCGCCAGTTATAGTTTGGAGCTTGCAATGGCAACAAGTAGAAACGAAAGCCTGGTACCGGACGCAACGCAGCTGCTGCAGGAACGCCGTCATCAGCCAAATGGCACTGCCTCTGCAACAGCAACGAACGGGAAAGCGTCAACAGCACCCACGACATCCACGATGATGGCCAATTCGGGTACTTTTATGAAATTTAAAACATATCTGCTGGCTCTGCGTCCTTGGTCGCTGTCTGCCAGTTTAGTACCCACGCTGCTGGGCTCCGCGTTGGCCTATCGCTCCCAGTGGGCTGCGGAATTCTCGTTACTCACCTTCTTCCTCACTGCCTTCACCGCGGTCACGGTCCACTGTGCCGGTAATGTGGTTAACACCTATTTCGATTTCATCAAAGGCATTGACAAGCAGAAGGCTGACGATCGCACGCTGGTCGATCACATACTCACCAAGGATGAGGTAAGCAAGCGATCGGATCGGCTCGATATTAATTGCTGTTTAATTAATGGATTATAAACATGTTCTGTTTTTCTCATTCTCAGGTGGTTTCGCTGGGCGCCATCTTATACATGGCCGGCTGCGGGGGCTTCGTGCTGCTCGCCGTACTCAGTCCGGCCAAAATGGAGCACCTGGCACTGATCTACTTTGGTGGTCTGTCATCGAGCTTTCTGTACACAGGTGGCATTGGTTTCAAATACATTGCCCTGGGCGATCTGGTCATCCTGATCTTGTTTGGGCCCATCTCGGTGCTATTCGCATTCATGTCACAAACGGGTCATGTCGATTGGACAACAATGGGCTATGCCATACCGCTGGCCCTCAACACGGAAGCCATCCTCCACAGCAACAATACGCGCGATGCGGAGAGCGATTGCAAAGCGGGCATTGTCACCCTGGCCATACTCATTGGACGCACTGCGTCGCATGTGCTCTACGCCATGCTACTTTTTACACCATACTCTCTGTTCTTCATCTTTGGCCTGAAGTACTCCCTGTGGTTCCTGCTGCCACTTGTAACACTCCCGCAGGCCTTTAAGATCGAGAAGCGGTTCCGTAACGAGCAGACGATGCATCTGGTGCCGCGGCAGACGGCCAAGCTGAACTTCTTCTTTGGCATTCTTTATATTGTGGCCTGCTGCTGTGCCCAACAGTTGCCCACATTTGTGCTTCGGAAAGTTTAAAAAGGGAGATTACTACGAGACGACGGAATCAAATCGTAAATCGCTGCAAAATGTTTAGGGAATTTCATTAGTTTTTATAGTCAATGAGTGTAGCCGTAACCTCGTCTCGTGATTTTGTTCTATTGAAAAGGAAAAAGAAAACCTGAAATGTAATTTTGTGTCAATTTCGCGCAGGTTTTGATGTTGCACAAAAGTTTCGAACGCTTGCTAGTCTCCCAATAAGTCTTGTCTTAAACATCATTTGGAACTGAACATATCCTATGTACCCTACCTATACTGTATACTCGCTTTTATTTATTTCACCTTTCATTACTATACTCTTCCTCTCTCGCGCGTTGGGAATCACGGACCAAAAGAATGTCGATGTGCAACAACAGTCAGTAATCAGCTTATATATATCCTTGAACATATATATGAATAGCTGAATTGAATTGAAATGTTAGTTAAAGTTAAAAAATCATAGCCATAAATGGTGCAGCAGATACTTAAGTTTTTTCGTGTGTGCGTGTGAATCAAAATGCAGATTTACTTTATAGAAATGCTTGAAATGCAGCTAAGTTAAGGATAATTCGTGTGTGGAAGCTGGCTTTGCTTTTGTGTAACCATTGTTAGAGTTTTTACATATATTATATACACCATATATATATAAAAATATACTATACATCTAGATCATGTAAGCCCAGTGTCTAGCGGCAGGCTCAAGAGTGAGAAATATCGAAAGCGAAAAACACAAATTTAAATTTAAATTTAAAGAAAAAGAAAAGGGGAATATATACACAAATATTTGTAAAAGACGAAAGTCGAAAGAGCAACAATTGTTTTCCATTAACAATAACAAATAGCTTTAACAAAAGAATAGAGAGAAGAGAACCGAAAGAAGGCAGAAAAGTCAAATCCATTTGTATCCAAAATCCATTGTGTAATTTTGAGCAATTTTACGTGGCAATAATAATTTGTACGCTTTGTTTTTTGGTACATTGTACAAGACGATCCAATCATTTCATTCATTTATTTTGTTCTACATAGGTACGTATATGTATTAAATGTTTTTGTTCTGTTAACTGAAAGAGGATCAGAGGATCGGATCACTATACGAAGTGAAGTTGAGTAGAAGAGAAAAACCAAACTAAATGCAAACTTTGTAGACTACAAAACAAACAAACAAACACCACAACCAACAATGAACAATAATAATTATAATAATAATATTGATAACTATATTAATTAGAGAATGTATACATGAAATTGTGTTTTGTATATAGATTATTAAGCTAGCTAACGGCATAAGGCGATATGTATGTAAATATGGCAGTAACTTCAAAACCAACTCAAGACTAAGTTCATGACGAGCCAGCTGAAGTGTTAGTTAGATGCCGATTGATGAGTTGTGTGTGGAAGTGCTACATGTTAGATCAAGACTAATTTCAAGGACAGTCGAGCCCCATTACCTTTACCCGTGCGCTTAATGCAAGAACATCTTACGATAATTGTGGTAAGATTTTATTAGTGAACGCTTCCAGAAAAAGATGATATGCCAAGGACCTATATGAGAAGTATGTTTGAACAAAAACTGAATCTTAACAGAAAACCTATAAATTCTAAATTGTAATTCTTCTTCAGTACCCCCACGCTGATTGATCAGCATTCCTGTTCTGGGGTCCTGGCCACCAACATGACCTCATATGGCTTCACTGCAGCTGTGGCACCCTCCAGTGGCACCTCCTCCGGCATTTGCCCTGGGATGGAAACCAATTTAAAGTGCTGCAGAACGGTGGTGGTGAACATGAACAGATTCTGGCGTCCCAGAAGATCGCCCATGCAACGATGTCGGCCAAAACCAAAAGGATTGAATGCCTCTGGAAGCTTCAGCTGACCGTCGAACAGGTATCGCTCAGGATTAAAAGTCTCCGGTTCCGGAAAGTCCACCGGATTGATGAGCATTCCACGGAAGCAGGCTATGACCATCGTGTCCTTGGGTATCTCATAGCCCGCCAGTCGTGTATCGCAGACAGCACGATGGGGAATACCAAATGTATGGAGCATGAACATCCGCACTGCCTCCAGGGTGATGGCTTCGCAGTAGGGCATCTTCGAGCGATCCCGGGTCCACTCTGGTATGCGCTCCAGACCCACCACCTCCTTGATCTCGGCATAGGCACGCTCTTGTATATCCGGCCGCAGGACCAAGTGCATGAAACAGAAACCGAGACTCTTGTTGGTGGTCTCCGACCCAGCAAGGAACATGTCCAAACAGATGGCCAGCAGGCTTTCGTCCGAAAACATTCCCTTGTCGTCGTTGCCCGCCTCCTGAGCACGCAGATAGCTGTCCATCAGATCGCGGGGCTCATCGAAGCTCCGATAGGTGCGACGATGCAGCTCGATCTCCTTGCTCATAAAAGAGTAGAGCGCACGATGGCTCTCGACGAAGCCATTGTAGCCGGAGTAGTCCGGAGCAATAAATCGTAGGAGCGGAAAGTGACTGAACAGCGCACCCACCATGTCGATGTTCTTGAAGAGCTCAAAGAAGGTCTCCAACAGTTCAGTTATCTCCACGGAACCCGGGTCATAGCGCTGTCCACTGAGCATGCACCACAAGGTGTTCAGGACGTAGACGCTGGTCAGATCGTGCATTTGGATCCGGGCCTGATGCCCGCCCTCACGACGCACCACCGCCCGGAGGTCCTGCAGGAGGCAGGTGGCCTCATTGTGGACAATATCCGTCATGCCACTTCTGGCAAATCCAAAGTTCTTCAAGTGCCGCAGAATGAATCTACGCTGCTCCACCCACATCTCGCCATCGGTAAGGAGGACTCCCAGACGCGAATTGAAGGTCCGCAGGCGATAGAAGATGCCATCGGGCCTGCCATCAATATCCTCATTGGTCATCATCTCGCTGATAGCGTCGTTTGTGTAGGCAATCACCACCTTATCCTTGCCAATCTTCAGGCCAAAGAAGCCATAGGGATTCACATACCGACTGGCCAGCACATCGATCACCTTGCAGAACATACCCAGGCGACATCTTAGCTGAGAGATCTGCAGGGCACTACCCACAATCGGATACCATCGGGGTCCTGGCGGAAATCTCTTCGGCTTGCGTACTCCTCCCAAAAGCACCGCCAACAGGGTGGCAAAGAAAATCCAGATGACCGCATAAAACATGTTTTCCTTTCGACGATTACTTTCACTTTTCCTCGTTATGCAATTTCCACTCTGCTGCAATCGGCTTCGACTTCGGCGTCTCCTCTTCCCCAGAGTCCAGCGGCTGACGTTCACCCAAATCGACTGAATCCGCTGACGTGACGCGGTCTGTCTTTTATAGATGTTTTGTGGAAAAGCTTTTTCTTTTTTTCTTATTGGCGGAAAAGTTTTTCGAAAGACTCGTTTAGGGAGTTGTGTGGGCAGTTAAGAGGAAGATCAATGGGTAAAGGATACATTCTTGTTCGCCATTTACGAGTTATCCCTGAATACAATAGAACTGAATAAGGATTCATAATGGTACTGTTTTTCAGAAAATATCCTTCATCGATTGTCTGAGAAATGGAAGCTAAGTTTGGTTGATATTTGCTTTAGATGTTCCCCATACTGATTTGCAATCTCTTACGAAGCTATGTCTTCAGCTTTACCCCTTAACCACTTTTGTAACAGTTTCTAACAAATTATCACCTGGGTGCAAAATGGAATATAAAGCAGGTTTTACGTCTTCTTTGAATTCAATCTTAAAGAAGATTTCGCTGATTCAGAACAGTCTAAGAATATGCTCTTTACCAGTTATGAAAATCTCTTAGGAATTTTGCATTCAATATCTCATATTTTGCGAGGAGATATAATATACCTAAGCCACTTTAAAGCTGCGTTTTAAAAGAGTATGAAATATTTTATTTATGATTAAAAACAATGTTAAAAAATCTATTTTAATTCGTGAGTATCAAATATATAAAAACCAATTTGAATTTGTACAAAAACTACCTACAAATCGCTACAACGTCAATCCGAAAACCCGAATCTCCATCTACAGAAAACTACTACCTACTCCTGACCCCCATTGTTTTTGCAACATCTCTATTATTACACAGCTTTTACCTTGGAGCCTTATAGACCCAGATCTGAACCGAAAACTGACCCACTGCCTGTGTGGAAAGTTCAATAGTAATTTCTAGGGGATTGACTGACGTAACAACCCACCGACCGACCCACCGCAATGGTCATGAGCATGAGCCGCTACCCGGTACTATTTCAAAACCAGAGCCCCAAAACCAAAGTCAAGGAAAACAAGAAAAGCGAAGAAAACGCACAAATGGATAGAAACCCGTTTGGTGGCTGACCGAACGAAAGGAAAACCACAACCGAGATTGAGGCTGAAAACTGAAAACTGAAGACTGAAGGCTGGGGTAGCCTGGACAACTCGATTGGATGAGGCTATTATGTCATCGCCATTGCGGAAAGCAGTGGGATGGACTTTGTTTTGATGATAACTTCGCGCGGTTCCGGTTTTTGCGCGAAAGGGGCCAAAAGTGGAGCTGAAGCTGGGACTGGTGCCTGGAGCCTGGCATCGTAGGCAGCTGGCATCGATTTTTGGCATCCAATTTGGAGCTTAAACATGACTGCAGCTCGGAGAGATTGCCCATTTGAACGCTGACAGCGAAGCTCAACGGTCGTGACAGGACACGCAAGCAGACTCTTCTTTACCAGCATCAGGATACAGACATGGGATTCAGGTGGGTTCGATCCACATCTGTAAGTGAAAGGAGGAACCCCCTAAGACGCAACATCATCCTCTGCAGATTCATACTATTGGCTGCCATGGGCTTGGGGGCTATGTACATGATGCATCAGCTGGCACAGGATTGGAACAGGATACGTCCCATCCAAGGCATCACCATGCTGGCGGGTCAGGTTAGCTCTGGCTTGAATCTAAACAGACTCCCAGCTCTGGCGGGTCAGGCCAGTGCCGCCCTGACTCGGATTCGTGGTAGAAGAGAGGCGCCATCATATCACAGACAGAGGCATGAACTGGATGGGGTTCGAGGCACTCCGGACTCTGGAAGGGGTCCTTATCGAGCTCCACCGCCCGCCATCGACTGGAAGCGCATCCTCTCGCGCGATCCCTTCGAGTGCCTCCAGTCACTAATCTGCCAGCTCATGTCCGGCGCCGAGGCGGCTGCTCCCGAGGCTGAGCTCCTCATGGACTACCTGGAATCATCGCTGGAGCTGGCTCCGGCCAAGATCGGACGCGCCTTCAGTCGGGGTCTGGCGTTGCGCGGCTTCACGGATCGATGCTACAATGAATATCCTTTCTGTCTGTACTCCGCGAAGACAATGTTGCGCATCCTTCGCTGGTTCAGCGAAACGGGAGCAGTCCCCCAGGATGTGGAGGATGGGCAAAAGGGAGAGGACTAGATGAACTTTCGTTAGGTTAAGACTTGGTTTAAATAAAGTTTAAGGCAAAGAGATAGAGAAATGGTCTGCATCCGTTTGATTTTCGATGCATTTTCCCCAAAATATTGTATGTGCCATTCCTTTATTATATCATTACATTGTTGAATCAGAAAAACTATGAGATTTGAATCGATCCAGAACTAATCCTTAGTTTTTACTCAATCTTTTTACATATATTTATGTGGCAACCGCGGATATCGTATCGTATCTGAAGAATCAACATCGGATGACTGCATCATATATAATTCGTTTTTCTCTACAACTTGCTTTATATCTTACTTTAGCTAAAATCAATTCCCATCAAACTTGTACACAACTGATTTGATTATAGAAAAAGTTTATTAATAACAATACATTTTCCATTGCGTTTTTCAGTATGCAAAAATATTCAAAAAGTACATTCTATATTAAAAATGATAAAAGAAAATAAACGGAATGAAATCAAATCGAAATGGTTTGAGAGCGATGATCGATTGATCCTTTTTGGGGTAGATTACGATTTAGGAATTAGCTTCTATTGTTTCTTGAATATATTTGAGACTGCGATTGTCGCTTTAAATAACAAAATGAGCTATCGCTAGTTCTGATTTCAAAATAGGCTTTCAAAGCGCACAGCAGCATTAACATAAATATTTAAATAGTTAATAATAAATAGTTGCATTTGTTCAACATATTTTGTACATAAGAGAGTGGTAGTGGAATATAAAGGGGTTAAGAGAGAGCTTCTGTTGAGATATCCTTTGTGCACTTATGGTTTGATTTGAGCGCCAAAAATTATAACCTAAAAATTTTATGTATACAAATCGAGAAATAATTTCTTAAAATTCGAATAAAAAGCAACTTCAGCGAGGAAGAAAGAGTCTTATGGCACCCCAGAGGCACCCTTGAGGGTAATGCTAGTCACATCCTTTACAATCATCTCAGCCACCTGCCAGGCAATCTCCTCCTGCACATTGTCCTCTGGCAGATTGACCAGCTTCCTCATGGCATTTTTGATCTTGCTACCGCTGACGCTCAGCGACCACGGCTGTGACTTGAGCGTCACTGCATCTACCGCCTCAAAGTCTCGCTCGTAGCGTCCCAGGGAGTTGACAAAACCAAATTTCAAAGCACCCACTGGTCGCTGCCAGAGCAGCTGTGGATTCGTCAGCTGCCGTGCATCGATGTTCAAATTTCCAGCTGCTGCTGGTGGCTTCGTTTGGTGATCCATCGCCGCCAGCAGGGTATTGTGCTGCGAGATGTGCGTGCAGTCCGACATGGACATGGTCTTGCGATGCCGCTGCTGGGCGGAGACGTTGGAAGCCCGTCGCAGGCTCAGCTTGTGCTGCAGCCCCGACAGAGAGTTGTTGCTGGACTCTGGCACATCCTGGGCGGTGACCAGAGTGCCCCGCTTCGCCTTTAGTTCATTTACATAATTGTCGAAGATGTGGGACTTGAGGAAATCAGCAAAGTACTTCTGCTCCAGATACTTGGCTGTGACGAGAAGGGCAAGATCGAAGGCCTGCCACATCTCATCAGGACCGCAAATGGCCTGCTCCACGCGCAGCCGGAGCTTCTGGGACATCCACAGACGGCACTCTGACTGCAGGGAGAAGTATCTCCCGTAGATGATCATGGCATCGGCCTGGGCCGCCTGCTGGTCCTCATCCCCGGCGAAACTCTTCCGGAAATTAACGGCCGTGATCCAGAACTCCAGGCACTCGCGCTCCTGCTGCTGCTCTAGATACTCCGTAAAGTAGAACAGAGCGAGCTCGCTGTACAGGACATCGTAGATGTTAATGGTGCCCTCAACCTCGATCAGCTCCAGACAGTAGTTACAGTAGTAGCTGCTCTGCAGAAAGCCCTGCACATGCTCTCGCTCCAGCTGCTCCAAGACATAGTCCCGGGCCTCATCAAAGCAGCTGGCAAGGATGGGATGGTTCGGCAGCGACTTATCCCGGCCACAGAGAAGCAGGGATATGTGCGCCAGGATAACAATGGGCAGCTCTACCTGCAGATTCGCATTGACTATCAGGTACTTCTGATAGATGGCTATGGCATCGCTGATGCTCGCCAGCGAGAGCTCGTTGCAGGCCTTCTGTTTCTTGATCTGTTTGTTGGTCTCCGCATATATGCGGCTCTTCTCGTCGTCCGTGAGGGGTTTCCGCATGGATAGATCGCACAGCGTCTTCAGTTCAGGTACATCTTTCTCTTCGTTTGGCTTTTGTTCTGCTTTGGTTGCAGGCGCTTCGGGCTCTTCGTTCTCCCCCTCCGTCTGGCTCAAAGCCGCCCTCTTAAAGTTCTCTATATCTAGATAGAACTTGATCAAGGGCAGGGCCTGTCGCGTCTCTGGGTACTGGATGAAATAGCTCAAACAATTCGGTTCGCTGACAATTGCCGCCAGATTCATGGAGAGCCGGGAATTGTACTTGAATATGTCTGCCAATGAAAAACAAAAAACAATCGTTGAGAGAGAAAGGTGCGAAACGTGATAAGCAATTGTTCAGGTTAATTACCATCATCAGGGCCCCCGCCATTCAGCAGGCTGACGGCATCGGATGCGCCATCGTTGCCGTTGCCGTTGCCGCCTTCCTCCTCTTCCATAAAAACCTCATCACAGAAACTGGTTGTGGACCGCAGCGAATGGCGCTTCTTCTGCGCCGCACAGTCTATCACGTCCACATCATCATCAGTGGCCACCGCGTTGTGGGCGCTGCTGCGACGACGGCCTGCAACCAAAAAAAAAAGAAATTTTTCGCGGATTGGTGTCATTGCATAGAGGGACAGAAATTCACCAATTCTAGTCACTTACTGGTTTGCCTCTTGATGTACTTTAGCATCTTTACATGCTACTGCTTGGGTGCTCAGTTTGTAGCCTTTGTTTGTGGCAATTGTTTCTTAATTTATGCGTACTTTATAATTTTTATTGTATTGCGCGTACTGTTGACAAAGCTGGACCAGTGTGACCGCGGATTTCTCGCTAAAATATACGGTCTGACCATTAAAAATATACCGTAACAATACCGATTTCTTACGTCGTATGTTGCTTGCAACATTCGAGAAACCGAGCAGCATTGTCCCTCAACATGGCGCGGATTGAGCAACATTCTTCATACCCTAGGGAGAAGGATATTATAGAATTGAGGATATGTTTGTCATCCCAGGCTCTAATTAATGCAGAAACTAGTCGTCTTTGTTTTAAAGCTGGTATAACGAAATATTGCAGTTAGTGGTCCTCTTACAGAGACGAGACCAAGAATAGATATCGGGATCGAGATATACACATCCAAGAAAAAGCATGACTTTTTAATACAGCTTGGAAAACAGAATTTTAACATTATTAAAGAAAATAGGGTATACAATTTCACCATACTCATAGATACCTGTTGACCAGTAACAATGACGTAACATTCCGTGCTTTGACTTTATTTGTTTAAGCCTTATTTTAGAATAACAGGTAATAATAAAAGGTGGGACTTTAAGTCAGCCAATCTTGTAAAAAATGTATAAATCAATGGAAATTATTCAACAGGATATCAAAATTGAACAATAGAAATGATTACTCTCTTACGTGTTATTTGTTTGAACTGTTTCGCTCCAACCTTTTTTATGACAAAATTCAATAACAGCTAGTATTCAAAATGAGCCAGTCAAGTAGAAAATAGGTTCATTAATTGGATAAAATTATGTGGGCATGGCAAAATGTTCCATTTAGCTAATAATATTGCACGAAATATAATATCGAGGAATATGGTTTCCAATCCTCGATGGAGAGCGATTAACCCATTGTAAGCCAATGGGGTATTTTAATATTCCACCGAAAATAATGAAAATTGAGTTATTTTAGTGCAGCTCAGGTGAAAGATATCGTGGTTTTTTTAAGTTCAGAGGAAGACTGGCATGGGTCTAAAAGGAAAATTTACAATTAGTAATATGGGCCACCACTTACCTCAAGTCGTTCAACTGTTTATATACAGGGGGGGTTAAGTGGGCTAAGTTTCTTTTTCATCATAACTAGACGCTATATTGTTGAGGGGCAAAAAAAGAAATCGCCGTATTTAAAACAAGCCAGTCAAGTAGAAAATTAATTCATTAATCGGTTAAAATTGTGTGGGCAGGGATGAGGGTTCTATCTAGCTAGTGATATTTAACGGAATATCAAACCGAGGAATATGTGTGATGGCTAATAATAATATGTTAAGTTGTCAGTATATTTACGGGATATTTTGAAAGTGAGACGGTATATTTCTGAGTGCCAGATGGTATATTTTAGCAATGGGTTCGCGGTCACACTGGTCGAGACACGTTCAAAACAAAAAAATTTTTCAACACGTCGGACGGGTGATGCGCGCGCAAAGTGGTGGGGAATTTATATGAAACTCGTGAACACATAATTGCCGCAAACAGGGAAACAGCGGGAATAAAGTGTCGAAATTTTAGCCGAATACAGAAAATTCGGTTGAAAGAATACGATATACAATAATATATTTGTGCAACATCCCTTGCTTTTGACCGCGGGGAGCAAAACAACAGTACTTTGGCGCTTAACGTACAGTTCAACCATTGTTACTAGTATAGTGCGCGCGCGTGTGTATTAGTGAATACCAAAGTGCTGTAGCAAAATAAAAAACAGCTGCGAATTACACCAGAGATTAAGAAAAAAAAGAAAAAATCTCACTTTAAACCGCCCAGGATCGGTAGCAAACCCGATAAAATCTATTTCAGCGCTTTCGTGTGTTGAGAGTTTTGTTGAGAGAGTGTATGTCCGTGTTTGTGTGTATGAGAGGCCAAACAGTTTGCCGCTAAATACGAAAAAAGCAGCTGAAGGCAGCCAAAGACCAGCTGACACAACGATCGATAGCGGTACGTGTGTGTGTGTTGTGTGTAGAGTGGAAAGAGTAGAAGCGATAAGAGTGCAAACAGTACAGCAACAAATTGTGGCATAAAGAGTGAAACAGCAACAAATAAGGAAAAGAGAGTAGCAGGAAGAGTAGAGCTGAAACAAAGTAAATGCAACAAAATAGCAACAATAGAAACACGTGCTTCACCAGTGGCTAAGAGAATTATTGGGAGGAAAACGAGAACGACGATTACTGTGCGATTTGCGTCGCCCACAATAAGCCAATACACGATCAAACATGTCTGGAGTACCGGTCGCCATCAAAACGGAGGAAGTCATACTAGAAAACGCCGAATACAACAGCGCAGAGGAATTGGATGAGGAATTACAGTAAGTTCCATTCTCCAAAATCGTATTATGTTTATGTTTTTGCTTATAGAAATAGAAGTAACAAGAGACCCAGAGCTTTGGTTGCATTTTTTTATCACGCAAATTATTGATTATTTTTACTATAAGCGCGCGGTCTCTTTCTCTCGCCTTCTTTTCTGAGAGAGTGAGAGCGAAGGCAGAGAGAGAGAGAGAGAGCGTAGAACCTTTTGCCGCCTGTTTTGCCGACAAAACAAATACGGCACAAAAACACAACCACCACCACTACCAATGCAGCAGCAGCAGCAGTCGAATTCCATTCCCATTTCCACACCATTCCACTTCCATGCTGTTTCTTGTTGCTGGAATAAATGTGACGCTACTTTTTTTTCATCATTCTCCTTTTCCTCTTGTTCCGCTCTTTCTGGCTGTTTGTACGCTCTTGTTTTTTGCCTCGCCTCGTTGTCGTCCATATTGTAAAAACGGCTGTTTTTGTCAATTTATTCAGCGGCGCTACACTGCAGGCAAATATATTGTGTCAGCAGGAAAATCTAAAACCATTAGGATTTGAGCTCATAAGCGAATGAATATTTAGTTAATTGAGTATTGAAATACACGTACAGTATATTTTTAGCCTGAAATCGCTCTTAAACCTCTGCCTCAAAGCGTTTACAGCTGCTAGATAGCCAGCCGATCGTGCAGTTCTCTCCCCTCTTCTGAGTTTCTTCTTTGCGCTCACATGTTCGAAAGAATCAGCTGTCCCACTCGCTCTGCTTATCACTGGTTTGCCTACCTAATCAACTTTTTTCTGATGCTAGTCGAATCGAAATCAGCTGTACCGGTATGCGTGTATCATCATATGGTTTTGCACTATTCACACGATGTTTCTACCTGAGCGGCGTCGTTTTCATTCTCCCTCTCACACACACCCACACAAGCGCAACAGTGGCCGACAACGACACGACCACCTTGTGGCTGAGAGTGCGAGTGAAAAATGCGCTGTAGGGAAGAAGAGGAAAAGTGCGCTAAAAAGAAAGAAGAGAGTAGCACCAGCCCAGAAAAATGTACAGTTTAATTTGCTTTTTCTTTTTTATTGCTCTCTCACCCTCTGCCTATATGTATTTGTTGATCGTATCTTCTTTCTTATTTGTTGTCTCTTATTTCTTTGATCGAGTTTGCAGTTTTTCGTAGCGAAAGTTGTGCCGGCTTATCAGAATCATATGGCACTCACACGTCACGTCACGCCGCTCCGCTTATCTGACATATGTTCTGAGCAACGAGGGAGAGAGTATGAAGAAACCAACACCCAGCACAGTCGCGTCACCCCGTAATCTCTCACAGCTGGGGTTTCAAGGCTTTCTTTGGAAATACTTATCAATAAATATTCGCATGTTTTGGTTTTTTCCTCCAATTATAAAAATCACTAACAGCTGACCAGCTTTTAGCGGCTTTAAAAATATTAAAATACACAAGATTCTATAATATTTTGGCCACCAGTGTGTGGGAGGGAACTTCGTTTTAACAGCAGCTGCTTTACGGCGTGCCTCGGCTAAAAGTCTCCACACGTTGCACATTTGCAAATATTATGCCGCCTGCCTCACCATGTGGCGTCATTTCCGCTTTTACCCCACACACTCTACTCTCGACTCTACTCTTTGTCGCTCTCTCTCACTGGAAAGCACGCCAGAGAGCTGCCTGCCACTCTGGGAAGTTTCTCAGCGCGTTTTTAGAATCCACAACTCGATTCTCCTCGGGTCAGCTTGCAGTTTTATAAGAGCCGCTCCCCAGTTTGCGAAAAGTACATAAGCCCCGCCATGAGAGTTTCTCTCGCTCGCTCTGTGTCTGTGTGTGAGCAAGAGTTGAGTGTGCTGGCTGTCAGAGCAGGAGGGCACGATTGACTGTGGTGTGTTTGAATTGCACTCAAAAGCTTGTTGCGCCTTTGCTGGTGTGGGTGAGAGCGAGCCAGAGACAGATTCGCAAAAGTACAGATGCCGCCACACGGCGAATGCTTTTTTCTACTACTACACACGTTTCATTGAAAAAAGTATACACAAAAGCTGCTCTCGGTGCAGTCAGACAGCGTGCAAGTGAGAGCGACTAAAATGAAAGAAAACGAAACGAGCAAGCAAACACTCGCACACACAGACAGACCCATACAAACATAGACACAAATCTGCTGCGCAAAATTTTTGGGCGATGGCTCTCCCTGTACCCCGATGTGGTGCTTCCACTTTTCATATGCCAAAACGTTTCGTCTGTTTTTTATACCTTTTGCAAGAGGGTATTATAAGATACGGGAGATGTTTGCAACGGAGAGAGCATACGTCATACGGCATTCGTTGACTGTATATGCCGTTGAGATCCCATACCATAGCAGAAAGGGTATCAAAAGCTTCGGCTATTTCATGTGTTATTTTTTTTCAAGAGGCATTTATTGGCAACCTGCAAAAGTAGACAAAGAAAGAGAGAGCGCTCGCTAGTGGGGGAGTAATATGTGTGTGAGGGTGTGAGAGCAAAGCAGAGAGAGGCGGCTTCGTGTTGTTTATGAAAAACACATGATTTTTGTATACAACGGTTTTTCGTGCCATGCCAGGAGGGGGAGGGATACGAAGGCGGCAAACTACTACTACACCTGGCACCCCTCTCTGTCTCTCTCCCGCCTTCGCCACTCCCCTCCCCCCTTATCGTGAAATTGCAGATTATGGCAAATTTGTTTGCACCAGTTATGATTTATGCACTTTCT